GGGGTTCAGAGGCAGGCCACCAGGTATGCGTTTGTGACGGAGGTAACCTCTTGTGTGACTTTAGGTATGGCTGGGGTGATTTGCCAGGTCCTCCAGCCAGATCTCCTCAATGAAAGAAGTTACTAAAGCACATTTCAGTTCAAATTTACTTCCTTACACCCAGCCCCAGATCTAACTGTGGGCCTTAATTTAATTCCGTTTCAGGGTCAATCTAATCATCAAGCGAAAGACTATTTAGAGGGAATATTTAGAAAGACTTGCATTTATACCAGTAATGTTGAAAGTGAATTTGAAGGTATTACAGGGTTAGTCAAAATGCTGTCGACAGCTTTGACAGTTTAGTACAAATTAATAACATGGGGCACTGTGACAAGAAAGGTTTCAAACGAAAGGATAAATATCAAAGTTTCTTACAGTTACCTTACAATCCTTCACCATCTGTGGAGGAGAAAACAAAACTAAAGTAAAATAATTGGCATTTAAACTTGTCGACAGCATTTTGATGAACCCTGTATTGCAGCTTTCTAAATCACACAATGCTTCACCCACTATGCGTCGTACTGGGCCCATACATAAATTTAGGGGACCCTTTTCTGGGGTTGGGGGGGGGGGGCTGGTCTAGTCAGGTGCACCCCCAGGGCTTTACTGACAATAACAGCAGGAGTGGGGAGCAAGGAGTCAATACTGACCTCCGGGGGTCATTTCTGAAACCTGTTCTTATATACGACTGGGTTAATTCTGTCTTAGGCAGGATGAGGCCCCCACTGTGTATATAAGGAGTGTTTGAAAGATTACGAACAAGAAGGGGCCATCTCTCGTGTCCCAGGTGTTCATTGCTAATTTTACTCATCTGATTGTCTCATTTGTTGGCCTCAGGGAGGGGCTTATTCTTCCGATCTGCAGGTGTGTCCAAATGGTTCTGAGTTCTGCCCGGTGGTTCAAGTCTCTGCATGAGCCCAGCTGTCCCAGTTTGATTGGAAAAGAAAACTTGATACGAAATCTCAGAAGCACGTACCTCTCTGTCCGCTATTCCCTCACAGGACGTCCCGAAAGACACTGGGAAGCAGGACGGCTATGTCCTCCTGCTGGTCCTCCTGTCCATCTTCATCGGGGGGACGCTGGTCCTGCTCTCCGGCCTGCTGGTCATCTGTCGGCGGTGCTGTGAGGGAGACCGCCGCTACTCCAGGTGCGATGCCTCGCCCTCTGTCCGCCATCCTTCCCAGCATGCCCTGGACACCTGGGGGTCTGCCCACTGAGGCTGGAGGTCTCCTGGGCCGACCAGCACTGTCCACTCCAAACCATCGCCCCAGGGGGGTGGCAGGCAGTGTTACCTCCCTGGCTCGCAAGAACACCCCTCTGTGCTGCCAATTTATCTTTAATAATCCCAAAATCCTGCAATTTAGAAGTCGACAAGATCCCGAGATTTCTGAGAAGGGCAGTGGGAATCCAAATTAGAGGTCCAAAGAGGGGATTCTCCCCCATTTTCCCCATTAATCTTAGATTTGAACAATTATATATTCGTTTTCACTCGAGTTAGGGGTTTTAATGCGTGTTGTACCGTGGTTTGCATTAAAAATCAAGGATTGAAAAGGAATGTAAAGGAATAGAAAAATAAAAAAAAAGTCAAACAAAATTGCATTGTGAGAGCAAACCCATTAAAAAAAAACCAAACACTGGGTGTTTGCTGGGATGGAGATGGGCTCCTGTGTAATTTAGTTCCATCATTAGTGAAAAAAATATAAATTTGTCCAGCTTATTAACGTCTGCCGTGTAGCTGTATGGACGCAGGCACAAACACACTGCCTCTCTCTCCTCCTCCCCACGCCTGTGAGGCAGCAGGGTGAGTCTGCAGTCTGCCAGGAAGCAGCTATCTCGATGCAGGCCTTCTACAAATGACGATAGTAATGAAATTTTATGCCACCCATCAGGGTGATTAATCGTCCTGTGGCAGAGCAGTGAGCTGAGACTGGGAAATGCCAAGACTGAGAGAGCCAGGAGAGAACCCCCTCCCCCCCCGAAAACGACCCTTTATTTAAAAACAGCCTCCTTCTGTGGCCTCTAGAGAATAAAAAACCGACAAATTTGATTCCTTTTCAGACATTTAGGGCTGAGCTTCCCGCAAAGTATTTTATCTTGCTCAACGTGGGTGGAAATAAAGCAGAGGAAATGTCCTGAGAGTTTTAGGGTGCAGTTTAAAAGGGACCATGTGGAGCGCGGACAGCACTGATGAATGCCTTGCGAATTGAGCTGTAACGATTTAATTATTTAAGGGCAACACAGGGATAATATTTATTGAATGATAAGCTCACGCAATCCTCAGGGGCCTTTAACGTAATTATAGAAATGAGAGCCTGATAAATAATGTACACCCGGGCATTACGTACACCCTGCTTGATCTCCCTTCGTTTCCTTTCTTTCCCGGCGACACGGGTACAGCCGGAATCACAGCTGCAGGCAGGGATGAAATAACCCCGAGCCCCAGCCAGGTTCCACTCCACGCGGTGATGAGCCCGTGGAGCTGAGCTCTGAGAAGGTCCCCTCAGCCTCGCTGCAAAGCTGTTCGAGCCGTTTCAGGTTTTGCCGGGCCGCGTGCCGCACGGGGCTTTTCTAAGTGAGGGCGAAATCCGTTTCGGAGTCAGTCTTCCTTCTCCGCGAGGCCGGCCCTGGACCGGAGCTCCGTGTGCTCTTGGGACAGTGAAAGAGCATTGTGGTCCCCTAGTGGGGCTGTAGATCGGTGCCCCCTGCAGCCTTTGTCACCACCCTTCTCTGTGCGGCTCTCGCAGGGCCAGCGATGATCCTGAGAAGACCAACACCACCTACCTGGAAGACCTGCAGCCCACCCAGGGTAAGAGAGAGGGGGCTCTCCGCCCCCCCGCTCATGTTGCCAGAGCAACGCCACATACGAGTGCCATACCGCCTTCTCCCCCCTTCCCCTCCACCAACCCATGTGCATGCCAGAACTTCCAGCATGGCATCTTTGGGGACCCTCATTCCCATCGCCAGGGGCTGTGGGTTCAAACGCTTGTGTGGACGCTGGTGCCGTAAAGTCAAGAAAGGGCTTATTGCTCGGATACCCACCCAGCTGGGTATGTGCATGAGAGTCCAGCTGTATGTACTTCACTGGCACCTGGGGTCTCACCTGCAGTGGATTAATAGAGATTAGGCTGCTGAGTGCTACAGGGTCTTGAGGGCTTCTGACTGAAGTGCACGCAGAGCTAACGTTTTGCCATTTTTGGCAGCAGCCAAACTTCAAACATTAGATTCTCGTAGTTCGGTTGTTTCTTAGCATTTTTAGCTCTTTGGTGATGCCAAGTTGAGCTATTATTTTGTCTTTTTTTTTTTTAGAAGGAAGGACTTTTTTGGTGACGTTAAGTTTAGCTGTCAGTTTGTCATTTCTTTTCAAAAAAAGAAACGTTTGTGCATCAAGTAGTTGGTTTGTTTTTTATTCTGCTGTAGACGAGCTCGGCAGGGCCCGGTCCTGTTTTCCTGCTGGCGAAGGGTAGGGGGTGTTTCTCTGCTCGGATGCTCATCACCGAGTGCAGGGAGGTCTCTCCTCATCGCCAGGCCTCCTCCGGAATGAATCTAGCTGGGGGCGGGTCTGACAGACTGCAGGGAGAAAGCTGTGCGCCTGGCAATTTTGGGAATTCACGCTTGGCGTGTCAAGATAGACAGGGATGTCAAATCCATGAGAAAAACAGAGAAAACGGAATAAGAAGAAGGAGGCTGTGCTTCTCCTGTCCTCCGGGACCCTAGCAGTGAGAAAGGAGGGCAGTGCACTGTTTCTGGAGGGCCTCTGAAGGCTGGTGCCCACCGAGGGGGGAAGAGACAGACGTTTCAGGGCTGACGAGAGCTGGCTGGGTCCCGATGGGAGGTTCACCGAGTCTTGGCTTGTTGTCACCCCCCTCTCCCCCAGAGATCACCATCAAGGTGGACGAGTCGGACTGTCTGTCCTCCTCCAGCTGCCATGACAACGAGACCGAGCGCTTCCTGTCCACTGCCGCCACGGGCCGGCGCGTCTCCTTCAACGAGGCCTCGCTCTTCGACCAGGGCAGGAAGACTCAGGAGAAGGGCCGCAGGTGAGACTCAGAGCAAAGAGCGCCCCCTACTGCCCAGATCCCTGATCTGCCTAAAAGCGCTGATCGCCATCCCGTGCTGTTCCCTCCAGAACAACATCGTGTTGGGTCCAGACTGGGGAATGACCAGTCATCGGATTCAAGATCTCTTTATGCAATGTCCAAAAATACTACAAGAAACCTGCAAAAGCACTTATGATATTCCAGCCTTCTCATTTTACGTTCTATTGTGATTATGATCATGTGATCTTCTGTTTAGGTTATGCAGTCATTGCCTATGATACTATCTGTTCCTGGTCATGTCATGTCATTCGCTTTAAACCAACGAGCGCAAGGCAGGGTACACCCTGGACAGGACGCCAGTCCATCGCAGGACAAGTACAAGCCAATCATACATGGGGACAGTTTGGAGGCCACAGTTAAGGCCGAGGGAGGAAATTTGGTCCGGACACTGGGATAACTCCCTACTCTTATTGGGAAGTGTCCGGGGATCTTTAATGACCCCAGAGAGTCAGGACCTCGGTTTAACATCTCATCTGAAAGACGGCGCCCACTACAGTACAGTGTCCCCGCCACTACATTAGGACCCACACAGACCGCAGGGTGGGCGCCCCCCTCTGGTCCCACTAACACCTCTTCCAGCAGCAGCAGCCTTAGCCAGAGGTCTATCTGTTCCTGGTAATGGAGTTAGTCTTGTGTTTTTATGAAGATACATTTGGACGTTATTACAGATGGACACTGGTCCATGTTTATTAAAAAGATAGTCAGAACTCTTGTTTTACTTTAATAAAAACGATGCAGTAAGTGCCACATGGCTTAAAGATCTCTTCCTTAATATGGCCCCAGTGGTCCACAAACCTACCAGAATGGGACAGTGTGTAAGATAACGTGTGTCAGACTTCCGGACAGGGGTACTGTACAGCTGGAGACCCTGGTTGTCCTGAATGACGGACGTCTGTCTCCCACTGACTCCACCCCCCCACTTCAGGTACACCCTCACAGAGGGGGACTTCCACCACCTGAAGAACGCCCGGCTCACCCACCTGCACCTGCCCCCGCCCACCCTCAAGATCGTCACCATCCACGAGTGCGAGTCCTCCGAGAACACCATCGCCACGGCGACGCGCCCTGCCTCCAGGTCCAGCCTCTCCATCTTCCAGGTATCACGGTGCTTCTTCCCTGAATTACTGTCCCGGCTCGACATCACGATCTTCTTGAACTGGGTTATCGGTGGTTCCTCCTGCGTGGCTCTCCTGACCTAGTGCTCTCCATCTGAAGGCGGATCGGAGACGTGTTCTTTGCTGCACTAATTGATTGATTGCTTTTGCCTGTCTGCCCTCCCAGCCCTCGGTGTGCCCGCTGCCCCAGACTGCCCTGACCAGCCTGGCGGTCAGCCCCAGCTCGGCCCTCCCTGGAGACGCCCTCAACTCCGTCGTGGACACCAGCTTCACCGAGAAGCCCCCCTCTCCACGCGCCGA